TTGGATCGTCAGAAATAAACTTTGAGCTTCTTACCGACACAGTGATAGGTCTTGTGTATCTTGTGATCCGAGAATAGAGGATAGCTTCGATGTGGAATAATCTGTCTGGTTGACCTGGCAGTTGATTCTTTTGCAATGAAATCCCATCTTAATCCGAGGTGCGCTGTGTTATGATTGTCATCAAACTGTATCCTCTCGTGAATCCAGAGCTGAATTTCAGACATTCTTGCTGCTGTGGCTAGCTTATAGCAGAAACAATGTTTTCTGTGAGAGAAATTCAAAGTTTGTCGATTCCAAGGGTTCATAGACCTCACTCGTGAGGTGTTGTAACACTACATTCAGATCCCAAGCTAAGCGTGGAACTTCCGCTTTGGTCCTCCAATCGGAAAGCTCGTAGTAAGGCCAGTAACTCTGGAGATCTTGTCAATTTGACACCCGCTCTCATGGTGATTACAGAGCTAAGCCGCAAGATATGCTGATATCGCTGAACCTTTTAAATGTTTGTTTTGGCGAGGTAACACAAATAGTCTGCCACTTGAGGTTGTGAAGCCTCTCTTGCTGTAAACCCTTTCTTTGTTGCATAATTTTCAAACTGTGCCACTTGTCGCCGCATTGCCACGAAGTTGAGTAACGTAAGGCAAGCGCGACTGCTTTTGCCGCCTCTGGCAGAATATCCTCTTGTTTAAACACATTTGTATACAGTCCATACGCAGTAGTTGGAACATTGCTGGGTTTCCGCACTTTGTTTGGTGTGAGGATGAATTAACAGGTTTGGCGCCGCTTTGGGTAGCTCCAGTGTTGGTTGACCGATTTCTTGAATTAGTATGGGAAACCACGCTCTGGCCGCCAGTAGGGCGCACCAAAGTGAGTTGTAGGCTCTGTGTTTGTCTGATTTTCTGTAATACTTGAGGTATTATTGCTGGCGGGCGAAACGCTGCACGCATTGAGGCCTTCCCATGATAGACTTAGAGCGTCCGCTGCCCAAGCTTGGGGGTCTGGGACTGGTGACACTGTAATGTCGGTAGCTGATTGTTGAATCGCGGGCTTAATAGGTCTATTAGCTTCCCTAATTGCTTGATTATCTGTGCAAAATTTCCGGTTGATCATCCACTCTGTCGGTGATGGTAGATGAGGCCGAGAGAGAGCGCCTGCTAGTATATTTCTGGCTCCGGAATGTGCACTGCTCTGACATGTAGATTTAGATCTTGTATTAAATCTAACAGTTGAAAGCTTAGGTTCAAAAGGTTCATCGATCTGCTGAGCCTTGCTTGTTTATGTAGAACGCCACTGTCGAATTGTCTGTATGGATCATTAGGGCGCATTTTGTAGAAATGTGCTCCAAATGTAGAATGGCGCTGATTACAGCTTTCATTTCTAGACTGTTTATATGGAGTTTGCATTCTTGCTGATTCCATAACCCTGATATCGTGGTTGGTGAGATGAGCTCCCCAACCTTGGAGTGACGCTGCCTACATACAGATGGGTTTTGTATTCCTGCTCTGCTAAACAAATCCCTTCGCAGACATTCGATTTCTTGGTCCACCATAGTAGATGTGGTCTGAGATGTTTCGCAGACTGAATGGTTGTACATCGCTGAGATGTGCTGCTGATGAGGACCTGTAGGGGACGTGAACTCGTAATCTGCCTGTGACAGTCATGTCTTGGGCTGATGTGAGAAGACCTAGTAGGCTCTGCCATTGTCGCAGTGGTAACGGAGAGAGTAGAGCTGGTGGAATGGTCTGTTGTATCTTGAGCCAACGGTCTTCTGGGTACCATAATACGGTTATGCGATTTGTGATGAATCAATACCTAGGAACTGTAGGTCTTATGATGGTACTAGGTCCGACTTATAAGTTTACTAACCAACCTAGTTGTGTTAGTAGCTTTATGATGTAATTTAACTGTAGTTTGAGACGCAGTGGATCTTGATCTACTTTGTATCCCGGTCAGTCGAGGTAAAACGCACTCGCGTAGCCCTTTGACGATGTAGAAATTTGATAATCGGTTTCGCTATCCTCGTGAATAGCCAGGGGGCTGATGATATTCAATGGGAGTACTTTCCACTGGTAATGTAGCCCTTCTAGAGTAAATCGGAGGTATTTCCTGAATCGGGATGAATGGGATGTGCAAGTAGGCATCCTGTAGATCTATGCTGCCCATGTAGTCCATAGGATCTAATCATCTATTAATCTTCTAATGTGGCATGCTAAACTTGGTGGTTTGGCGTAGATAGTTCTTGCTGAAAAAGCTCATGTTGTAGATGATCTTTTTCTCCGGTAGTTTTTCTTGAACTAGCTGGGGAGTAAATCTGGTTTGGGGGTTTGATTGTCAGCGGAGGCTTGTCCTGTAGAGGGATACTAAATCTTTGGTAGTTGAATAATGTTGGAGACGATTGTCAGCGGATCTTGCAGTATTCCCCAGTTTTCCCAGTGTAGTTGGAGGCGCCCACCCACTTGAGTTGGTTGTACTGGAACGGCTGGGGTGGAAGACTCCAGTCGCTCCAACCTGTGTTTCAGCAAAAGAATCTTTACCTCTAGAGCTGGCTATCTTCCTGTCTCTTGCTCTTTGTAGGCCCGTGAACTTAGATCTGCCTGAGTATCTTTGTGAAGTCTGACGAATGACGCTGGCTAGTGTGTCCATCGATCTAATCATAAGGACTTCCCCTGGAATCCTTAGAGACTTCCTTTGGCGACCTTTGTCGATTTCTCCGCCAAAGATGGATGTTGTCGACCACGGGCTGTATAAAGTGGGCTGTAAAGTTCTCCCCAATTACAGGAGGCGAGGAGGCCTTGACGACGAGCTAAGGTCAGTGCTGCTGAAACAGATGTAAGATGATCCGCTAAAAACTGCTGATCTTTCTTTGCATAAGTAAGGCAGAATAAATCATTCTATCATCTTCCGCCGTGGAATCCCGAATCTAGTAATAAGAGTCTCATTGATCGCCCTAGATCTATTTAACCCAAAGAACATACGCCTCGGCCATGGTTTCTATATGAGCCAACTTGGCGCATCATCCATCTTGTAAATCTTGTTCTTTACATCGCTGATGATCTTATAGTTCTCATCGATGTCCTGGGCCTTGTAGAAGGAGTCCATGTTATGGGAGAACTTCTTGGCTTGAAAGTTGGGTAGATGTGGTATCTGAACTTTCGTGAGCTTCTGGAAAGCTGCATCTAGATTCTGTGGCACTGCCGCAATCGGGTCGATCGGGGTAGAGTGATTGCATCTGGATCATCTTCCTTCATCAAATACGCCTGAGCTGTATTGCCACTTTTAGATGGTGATGTGAGATCTAGGTTATTGACCATCCAATACCGTGATTCTGCATCAGAAAATATGATTCCTCCATCATCCTCAAAACCATCATCATTAATAAATTGTAGATGCTCTTCGACCGCGCAGCTGTCTGTGAATATCTGATGAGGTTTGTGGCGCATCTAGTTGACTTGTGCGCCATTCTATGTGGAGATCTGATGGGTGATCGAATCTGGTGATGAACGGAGTGGAGATCGCCTATGGGATGATCTTCTCGAGACTTGTGAGGTGAATGTTGATAGCTTCGCTGCTCTTCGCAGTCCCTCGATGTTCTTCTAGACGATGAAGATCTGAATCATATGTCCTTCGCTAATGCCTTCGCTGCTTCATTTGCGCCCGTCCGGGGATCGATGATATGACCTTCGCTAAGGCTTCCGTGATGTCTGATGGTCTGAGTCCATATCTAGAGATGAAATCAAGATGGTGATGATCTCCCCCGCCGCTAAGGCCTTCGCTGGCTGTACATCTAGGTCCTTCGCCAAGGTGGTGCGGACTTCCTTCGCCAAGGTGACATCGCCTTGGCTGCTACGCTGACGGGGTGCCTCTGGGGTGCTGTTCACGCTGGAGCCTTCGCTTGTTCGGACGGCTTGGCGCAGTTTGTAGTGGTCCTCCATGATGTTCATAATCTGCCGCATCATGTCTTCTGGGATGATCAGACGGTCGCCGGGCGCTTTTCTGCGATGGGGTTCACATCAATGACGCCTGACGCCGGTGTAGAGGCATCAGGCTGCATGGAGATCTCTGCAGAAGTCACAGTCGCTGACACCGGGTCGCTTCTTCTGCCGTAAGTCGGGATGATTATCGGCTGATCATCGAGAGGCCCAACTCTGCTGCTGGAACGATCTCGCTGAGAAAGTTCTTGCTGTCTTCGTGATTTCCCTTTGAAGTCTGCGCTGCCCTGGGTGTCCTCAATCTGCGCTTTGAGACGACGATGAGGCCCTCTTAGACTTAGTCTGCAATGACGGGATGTCTGGGGAGGCCGGTCGCTTTTTCGAGGTAACGGATCATGCGCCCCACGCCTCCTCTGCCGCAGGGGTCTCTAGCAGAACACCAGACGGAGAGGGTCGATCGCTAGCAGCTGACTGGAAGGAATATCTGACTCTCTGCCATGTTTTGCCCTTTGTTTGCTTGATCTATCTGCAGCACGCCTTAAGACGCAAAGATGATATTTATTAAATGCAGAATGAGATAAATTAATGCAGTAACTGCAACGGAATTAAACGCACAACGGCGAGAACAACTAGGGCATATTACATGTGGATCGGAGGCAGAAAACGTAATCTACAAATCGCATAGATTTTCATGAACGTAGTTAGCTGAACAATCACTTAATACACGGAATAAACAGTAGAAATAATGATAATTAATCAATACAAATAGTAAAGGATACTAGCTATACCTCTATAGTAACCTATGAGAGGTAAAACTAAGAGATTATCAAAGGATATGTGTGTAAGGAGACACAAGGCCTCACATCCTGCTCACTGGGCTAAGAAGGAGAGAGTGAAGCACATGGCCAGAGGGTGGCTTACACCTTTCCCGCCAGGGGAGACAAAGGGGAGCAACTCGTGGTGAGTACCAATTAGTGATTTTATTTTGAAGGGAGCTTCAAATAAGGAGATACAAGTGTTCCACTATGTTCGCAAGAAGAAGAAGACAAGCAAAAGAGCATGAGTCAGGATAAGGAAAAAATCTGGAGCCCTGCCTTATTGTTTGGTTTGATTCATCTTGTTTACTCTGTATACTCACGTCTACCATCAACCTACTTACTGATATGTAAATAAACCGAAAAACCCTCTCAAATCCACGGTGCAAGCTGTATGTTACATTTGATATTTATAATTACGATTAATACTAATAATGATACCTGCAGTAACTAAAAATATCTGTAAATGTAAAATGTTTTGGCAGTCTTGTGTGATCTTTGGTTCCAACTCCTGACTCCAATACACTATGACGAACAGCTACAATGTATGTGAAATCTTGACGCATGTGGTTTAGAATGAGAGCAGTATGTGGACAAACAACGATAGACTGCCACCTAAGTACAAGCCTCTTTCCCAACGTCTGTGATTCCAGTTGCCTCAAACAGTTTAATGTCTGTTGTAGTCTCAGTGTTCCCCGAGTCAGTGTGTGGGTGGGGCTTGGTGTTATCCTCTTCCACAGTGTCCTCCCCACACTGACTGGTGTGCAGGTCACGGACTCGGACACTAACGAGTCCTGGTCACTCTCCTCTGACTCTTCTTCAATCGACATGACCTCAGCCCCGTGGAACACATACCGACAGGGTGGCAGGAACAGGAACTGGTCATCTGAAAATACACCAGAGGTATAGGGTTCCCTTCTACAAGGAGATCTTAGAGCGAGCTATGACTATCACAAGTCTTTACAACGATATTAAGTCCTGAGAGTTACCAAACTTGATCACCAAATTCATCATATCGACTGTAACAACTAGCATAGGTTGTTCGGTGCATATTTAATCAGTAATCCCTCTTGTGGTCAGTGTTTGTTTGTTTGTTTGTTGTTCAACGGCACACCCAGCAATATTCCAGCTATATGACGGCTGTCTGTAAATAATTGAAACTGGACCAGACAATCCAGTGATCAACAGCATGAGCATTGATCTAAACAACTGGGATAAGATGATATGTGTCAACCAATTCAGTGAGCCTGACCACCCGATCCCATTAGTCGTCAAGCATGGATTGCTGAAGACCCATTCTACCCAGATCTTCACAATTGTGGTCAGCGAGACAGACCAGTCTAGTTAATTCAGTACTCATCATGTACATATATAATTACATGAACATGATGAGGCAACCACTTCAAGCTAAGTCTTACTGGCATGACTGCAAGTTGAAACACAATCACATACAGTGGAAGTCCTCTTAACCAGCAGCCCTCCAATCCGGCATGCCCTCGATATCTGTACTAGAATTTGGTCCCGGCAGAAGCTAGTTAATTTATGACCATTTACACGCCCTCTAATCCGGCGTCAGTCTATTCTGTATTTCTGCACAACAAAGGCCACCCAATTGACTGTTTGTACAGTAATTAACGCTCTCTAAATCGGCATCCGGTATCTCGGCTGAACGTGTATTAACAACACAGTGGATTACGCATTAAGCTCATTGATGTTGCCTGATAAAAGGAGTATGGATAAGTAGGTAAGGTAAATTGATGAGTGACATGTGACTTGTATTATAAATAAATTGTCGTGTCACAATTTGTCATCCCTCACCGTGTTATTATGGCTAGACCAGTCAAGCGGGCTAGATTGGAATTAACTCTTGAACAGAAAATTCAGCTGATAAAATATTTTGATGTAACTCCTCGGCCTTCTCAAAAAGATCTTGCATTTAAGTACCAAATTGGCAGGCAAACAGTTTCGGACTTGAAACTTCAGAGTTATGAATTATAACATAAATGTTTGGAAGCTGTACTGAACACCTACATTTGTGTTGATATGTGTATTTATGATGTTATCTTTATTGATGAATAAAGAATATGATGACTATCAACACATTGTTCAGTCGTATTTTACGGCACACGGAAGATCATTCTCAGGTTGAAAAGGGAAAAGTTCTCTAAACCGGCACGCCCTCTATACCGACACCTTTTGCCGGTCCCAACATGCTGGTTTAGTGGGCTTCCACTGTATTATTTCAAGGAGACTTCTAATTACCTTGCAGCCTCTTGGCAACACTTTCCCTCTCATGGATGTGCCACATTTTCTGCATCTCCTGCAGCGATGTGTCCAGAGCTCCATACAGCTCTTTTTCCTCCTCAGTCACTGTTGCCTCCTCCTCCCCTGTCACAATATCTATGTGGGCCTTGCTAGGGGAGATAACTCTCACTGCCTGATTCCGTATGTGTTTGTTCTGTTATTTCACTCTTGTTGTCAGTCGTGGTAACATCTGCTTTTGACTCTCTACTAATTTCAATAGTGTTACTTTTATGAGACACTTCCAAGGTATCTCTTGGAAAACTTGAAGAGTCAGATTCAGCACCAGATCTTTGAATATCAGTAACCACTGGTGGCTTAACATCAGCATTAACTAATGATTTGACATCAGCAGCAATCGATGTTTTTGCCTCAATAAGAGATGATGCTTCAGCAGCAGCAGCAATCAATGTCTTAACACCAGCTACAAGTGATGCATCAATGTCTGCAGCAACAGAATTAACATCTGCAACAACTGATGGTTTAACATCAGTATCAACACACATTTTAACATCAGCTTTAACACCAGCATCGTTTGACAAACATGGACTTGATTGTGGTAGGATTGTGTTTTCAGTTGTCACTGCACTATCTGTGTCTTTGTGATTCATGTTCTCAGTGAGATCTACCCCTGACATGACTGCACTGAGAGAGGGGGGCGTGGCCAGCTCTGTCCGTCGGATCTGTACAAGGGGAGGTGTTTTGTCTGCAAGGTGGGACCAGCCTGACCCTAACCGCTTGCAGAGTTCACTGATAATACAGTCACAGTCTCCCAGCAACTCCACATCAAAGTTCATGTGAGACAAAGGTTCTCGGTTGATCAGGATTTGAGGTACACTGGATGGGAGGGAATCTGAAAAAGGTTATCAAAAACGATAAGTTAACTGAAATTTTTAAAGAAGCTTTTTTTCAATAATACTGATCAAGGCATCTGTGTACCTTAATTTCAATGCATGGCATTATTCATATGTAAAGAAAGAAGAGATTACACTTACTGATTTTCTTTATAAACTGTGTCCAAGTTTAGGATCGAATTCTAATTCTAGCTTCATAAGTCAAATGGCCATGACATCAAGACACTTGCCCTTCATTAGGGTTAGCTAAGAATCAAACAATACTGTTAACATTGAGGCGTGAGTGAGTGAGTGAGTGAGTGAGTGAGTGAGTGAGTGAGTGAGTGAGTGAGTGAGGAGTGAGTGAGTGAGTGAGTGAGTATCATAAGTCAATGGCCATGACATCAAGACACAATACAGTTAACACTGAGGCTCGAGTGAGTGAGTGAGGTTTTACATTGCTTTTAGCAATATTTCATCAATATCACACACAGCCGGGTACACCAGAAATGAGCTTCACACATTGTACCCATGTGGGGAATTGAACCCAGGTCTTCGGCATGACAAGCCAACACGTTAACCACTATTCTACCCCACTGCCCTGCTTGAAGGAAGAGACTTACTTGGAATGAGGGCAACAGGCCTGACTTTGAGGGAGGACCCGATAACAATGAGAAGATCACACTCGTCTTTGTCTTCAGCCATCTGACGATGAAACTCATCAGGCAGACTCTCACCAAAAAATACAATGTCTGGTTTCAATATGGACATAGGAGAGTCTGCCGGACACACTGGGCAGCGTGGGATTATCTGTGGAGATAATGCACAAAGTTGGTTTCCAGGAAATTGAAATTATTTAACTGTTATCAGGAGTGTTTTTGAGAAACAGATGTAGGTGTAATCTGTGCCAAAAGCTTTTATTGAACTTGACTCATGCCATCAGTTTAAGTTGTTTATTATTATCCATGCTACAAGACAACACAGAAGTTTACTAGACTTGGAATTGTAATTTGAGTCAAATGAGAAGGCCTATGTGAAGGAATGTACAGCAGCCATTTAGCGCTGACAAACCAGTATTCATAATCAGGGTGAATCTGGGATTCACAGGAGCATGCCCAACTCTCCACAGCACATTGTGGATCCTAACACATCTTTGACAAAATGCCTTACAGTAGACAACAGTCAAACAATCATACCAGCATGTTCAAAATAAAGGAGGTGAGGTGAGGTGAAATTGGGTTTAACGTCGTGCTTGAGAATATTTCGCTCATATGACGACGTGCATGCGTGTGTATGTGTATGTGCGGCTGCTTGTACTAGCCCAGACTTAAGCTGGTTTTATAGTGCTAGCCCACTGAGATATCATGCCGCAGTGAAGCATGAATACCCCACTCAGACACATTATACTGACTCCGAGCCGACCAGTCCTTGTTGTACCCATTAATGCCGAGCGCCAGGCAGGGACCAAGAAGTACCATATTTTAACGCCTTTTGGTATGACGCGGTTGGGGATCGAACCCGCGACCTTCCGCTCTCCGGGCGGACGCTCTAACCACTACACCACGGAGGCGGTCTCAAAATAAAGGAAGATCCTTAGGTGCAATACTGCATTAATCCGAAAAAACCCAAATCCTTAATATTGGGCTATGATTTAATTTCAAGCATCAGTTCAATGTATACCTGGTTAAAGATGTCTTCTTTAACATCCTCAGCAGTGACTTTGTGCCTGCACACCATACATGTAGCACCAGCAAAAGAACCTACAAATATACATCCAGTGACTATAGTTTTACAATACTTTCAACATTCCAGCAATATCACCGTAAAGTACACCATAAACAAGCTTCACACATCGTACCCATAGTACACAACTGCCATGATATGCAGCTCCTAAAAGTCTGAGATACCAAGTGAGTGAGTGAGTGAGTTAAGTTTTACACCGCACTCAGCAATATTCCAGCCATATGGCGGTGGCCTGTAAATAATCGAGTCTGGACTAGACAACCCAGCGATTAACAGCATGAGCATCGATCTACGCAATTGGGATACGAAGACGTGTCAACCAAGTCAGCGAGCCTGACCACCCGATCCCTTTAGTCGCCTCTTAAGATAAGCATGGGTTACTGAAGATCAATTCTAGTCCGAATCTTCACGGGTCCTGAGATACCAAAGAGCTAGCGCTGCTATAAAGTATCATATGAGACATGGTTATCATGGTGATAGTGATTGAGTTGTGTTTTATACCACATTGAACAATACATCTGATTTTAATGAGGGTGTATCTGGACTTGGACCTATGACCATGGCACATCTGAAGGACTCTACCAAAGAAGAGTAATATAATAGGATGTTTGCGTAGTTGCTTACCATGACACTGTATGACATTCCTGATGCCAGCCACTTGTTCCAGGGTATCAATGTTCTGCGTGTAGTTTCTCAATAACTTGCCATGTTGCTCTATCAACTGGATAAACTTGTGACATCGAGATGGTTCAAACTGGCCTGGGTAGATTTCCTGCAAATTTAAACACCACTTCAACCTAACAAGTAGATAACATTGAAAATTTTCAGGTGTTCAACAAAAACGGTAAACGATTTGCTAATTAGTGGTGACAGCATGGTGACTGAGCTGTTGAGGATGGTGTCATGCTGCTTTGAACATAGGTCCAGCAATATTCCAGGACAGGTCTGTGATGGTGATGTCAGGTTGGTGATGTTAAAAAAGATAGAAAAACATTGACTCTAAGCCATATTTTGTGATAAAATATTACCGGTATTGGAGTTCATTTTTTTCCTTTACTCTACTTGACAGTTAGAAAATATTATGAATAAGGAGTGACATGTCCTCAAACTCTTTGTTAAGAACAGACACAGCATAACAATGATGGTCTCCACTCATTCATGCTTGATATATCTTCATGCAAATTAAATCTACCAGTACTCACTTTTGCAAATTTGAAGAATGGCCGTGGGTCATTTTGGAAATATCTGATATCAAACATAGCCTGTGGATCTGGAAGGTCTGGGAAGTCGACTGCCAATCGTGCATAGATACCATTCCGTGATCGGAAGTCCGGAATACCGCAGGAGACTGAAACCTAGAACAATCCTTCATCAACACACAGGAAGAAGTTGCTCTGAGGTCAACAGCACAACAATGTAAGTAACACAATCAACAAGATACTCTCTTGACCCTTTGCAACTTCAGCTCATTTTGAGGCTGGTTTGAAGAATGGTAAAAATAGATGTCGAATCAAATTCCACAATTTATATCTTTCATAAATATAAACATGGTCCCAGACTAACTCTTTACCCATAACACAAAGTATGAGTGCAGTCTTATTATACAAGCTCTACACTGGAACTTCTGTTTTATTCAAGGCAATATGTAAAGCGGACAAAACGAATAATGGCTGTGTTATCAAAACAGAAATATCAGATACATATTACATACAAGCTTTCAAATCCAAACTCTTATCATCCAATAGGACTAACATTAGACAGTAACTGCTTCCATTCCTAACTATTATGATATAGGATGTAATTTTCTGTATCTGATCAAACCCCATATCTGTATGTCAGCATTCTCTATCTCAGAAATAGTGGTTATCCAAAACACCATGCAGACTTACTCCAGCACCAGTGAGAACCATAATCTTCTTGCAAGTTCTCATCAGGTCCAGCACATCGTCCAGAGTATTTATGTTGTGTAGTTTCTTGCGTTTAGGTGGCTCTGACATGAGGTTAATGATTATCTGCCACAAGGTGAAGTCATCCAGATCAGGGGAGATAACTGCATCAGCTGTCACCAACTCCCTGAGAATGTCCCGTGGATTCTGTCCATCAGACATCTGCCGCTGTACCCAGGAAAGTGGACCTGCTTTTAACATGTAACACAGCAATCAGTTCAGCTCATTATAAAACTCAGGGTGCCATTGTAGAAAGCAACCTTAATGCAACGAATGTCATAAGTAGTGCTGGACTGATTGACTGAATAATCAGTCAATCGACTGATCTTGCTTGCATCAGCAATTATCAGTGGGCTCGGGAAATATCATAAAAAATGAAACATCAAATTAAACTTTAGAAAGTATGTTTGTTAAATCAAGACATAAACAACTGATGCAGTTACATCTCTGCAGATGCTACAGTTCTTTGACAAACAGTTTTACCTGCAATCGGCTTCCATGCATCTTCACTCATACCAGAGAGGTCACTCAAATTGTCAGAATTGTCAGAATTGTCACCTGTTGTTATATCCACCTGGGACAAGAAAGCATCTTTCAAAATACACTAAAACTGAATTTTGTATGAATTTGTAATAGACAAAGTTTGAGTATCATTTATATATGTACTTTGGTATAGTATTGGTTGCCATTGTCTAAGATATCGGTTTTCTGACTACAAGTAAAAATGCTCAAGAAATCTTCACAGAATATACATGGAAAAGTATTTTATATTATATTTTATTCCAACCAAGTATATACAAGAAACTACAAACATGGTCTTCCTCACATAATCAAATCACTGAGTGTGAACATATTATTTTCAGACAATTATGAAAATGTCACAAATCACAGGAATGCAAAGATACATTCTGTACATATATATGCACAATCACAATGCTATAGAAATGTGATCGATGTCACAATTTTTAGATACGATTTACATTGTGTACAGCTGATAGAAGGAAACATTATGGTTCCATGAACATTAGTTACCATCTTAACAAACAAAGTCAATCACCCATGTTAAGTTAACATATATAAAAATGATGAATCTTTGTCCTGGACAATCATTTTACGCACTATTGCTCAATTGATGAACTGCAATCCAATGTATATCCAACTACAAAAGGATTGATGCATAATAAAACAATGAAATCATCAGGATTGACTTTGACAAGAAATATACCTCTTCCGATGAGGAACCATCATTCACTTTCATGGAGTCTGTCTCTGTCATCTCTGATGACACCAAGGCTGATGGATATGGACATGCTACAATTATGAAGAAAACAGTACAAATGTGGGCAAATGTGCATACATACATGATCATATGCATGTCATATCATTTCTGTTTTTTTTAACACTACACTCAGAAATATTCCATAGCCAGGACAGTGTTCTAACTAGTGCAATGATGCAATTGTACAAAATACATATCGCATACAGTGTGACTGTGAAATAACTTTCTAAAAACAGTATCATCACATATATTAGCAACAATGCGGTTTACCGGGTGCAGATTACATAGCAATAACTGGCTCAGTCTGAAGGCTGCAGCTCTTGCTTCAGAGATCTTACGTGACTCTTTGCTTTTCATTCCTAAAGGTTAGTGTACAACCCTAAGGGTTAACTATGAGGTAGTATATGGATTAGCCATCTCTGCTAACTTACTAATCAATGGAACTTGACAGTCTCATTGCAATTTTTGTCAGTTTGCAGACAAACTGACTTCAGCACATGCCAATAAACATCAAGATTTGGGTGTTGATGACTTGGTAAACAAGCACTATTCAGTTATGATAGCATCAGTAGTCTCATGGTAAAGTGTTGGCTAATTGGATGAACCAAACTGAGTCTAATCCTGGATACAGTGTTACTGTTAGATTAATATTAATAACCGATGCACCCGTAAAGAGTATCTTTCACATAATATTGACATAACTGATTCACTTTTGGTACTCGAATTCATCTACAGTGTCACCTTATGACCCCCCTTCATCATGTTCAATGAAAGTTTACTTTGAAAATCTCATGTCAACAAAAGAGTTGGAGTCCAAAGTGTGCGTTCTCATTGTTGAATAAACATGAAAACCCATGGTATCTTTCTGAGAGAACGCGACTAGGTGTCTATACGATCATTATGTAACACAAACAATCATGATATGCACTTACTGTTACTTTGTTATGACAGAACTGACCAATTCTTCAGAACAAGAAAAAGCTTCACATGTCATTTTACCTGTACCTCCAATCGGTCCTCCGAGGTTGTCAGGTTTAGTTGTGTCTTTACTTTCACAAGTATCTAACAAGGTTCCACCTTGACTAGGTGGACCCTCACAATCAGTCCCATCAAGCCTGGGACGTTTAAGAGGGATTTCAAATGCTGAATCTTCCTGGTTCGCCATATTGAGTTTGACGCGAGAGTGAACTGCGCTTGCGCTACGAAATCCTACCGAGCAGGGAGTGGCTGTGTTTCTCTTCTGAGAATCATTTAAACCTTAATGCATCCACCAAGATGATAAAAATATATACATGTACTCCAAATAATAGTAAAAGACTTTCTTTTATACCGTGCCACACTTAAATGACTATTATCCTCTTATAAAGCTTTGTTAAATTTTATAAAATAATACACAATAATGAAGTCTCCCTCCACTTGTAAACAGAACTGTGAGAACGCACCTGTTAGGGATTCAGGGATGGAGGAAATATTGAACTTTGAAAGGAAATTAGAAGATGATTATTATCAAATTCTTGGATGCGACGAACTTTCAAACGTAAGTTATTCTTGCACTGTAATTTATGTCTAAAGAAATACGTATACGTCCTAGACATTGATGACTCTACTGAGAAAATGACATTTTGAACAGTGTTAAGACAGTATTCATCTGCAGATTAATTAAAGAGTATGTCAACCACACTTGCATATACAGTGGCCTTCAGTTGAGGTAATACTTTATATGAAATAAAAGACAACCAATGTGTACAAGTGCTTGAGCACCTGATGTGGCTGATAAAAAGTTTTACCCATGAATTTTTAAGATCCCAGATAGAATTGGTCTTCAGCAACCCATGCTTGTTGTATGACTCTGAGGCGACTAACCAGGATCAAGTCCTCAGTCTCACTGACTTGCTTAACACATGTTATTGTATCCCTTCTCAGGCTTCTGCGTAGATCGATGCTCATGCGGTTGATCACATTATTGTCTGGTCCAGACTCAATTATTTACAAACCGCTGCCATATAGCTGGAATATTGCTGAGTGTTGTTATGTTAAACAATGGGGAGGGGTGGGGGTCAAATATTCAAATAGACAAAAGATCAAAAGTTTTTGTTATGAATCCATGAAGTAGTCAGTTATCTATATATGTATGTCTGTTTCCTTCTTCAGACTGAGCAGATAGTTAAAGAATATAAAGCAAGAGTCCTTGACTGTCATCCAGACAAACACCCAGAAGACCCTAAAGCAGGTTTGTCCATGAAAGAATCAGTGCAGCTATTGAATCTGTACCTAACTCAATAAATAGTATTATAAGGTACACTCTATATGTCTCCAGAACATGTCTTTAGTATCACTTCACTGATCCCTCAGGGCGGTGGGTTAGCCTAGTGGTTAAAGCGTTCGCCTGCCATGCTGAAGACATGGGTTCGATTCCCCACATGGGTACAATGTGTGAAGCCCATTTCTGGTGTCTCCCACCGTGATATTGGTGGATTGCTAAAAGCGGCGTAAAACCAATGTCACTCACTCACTGATCCATCAGGCTTCCTCAGTCCACAGACTTAGTTCAGGACATGTTATTCCCTATCCTAGGAACATAAAAAATATATGTAATAAAATTGGCTGACAGTTTCTATAGCAGCCTTAGCAAAGTATCATTAAGTACTACAAAAAGGCGGGTATGTATTGGCTTGGGCTAATGGCAGTCCTAGGAGATTTGTTAAAGTCATTCCAATATCCCATTCTTGGCTTATCCCATTCATCATTCATCAGTAAACATGATTATTGTTAACGACTACATTAATTGTTTCTCATATTGAACAACCAAGAGTAATCATCCAGGTCAGGTATTCAGGGCTCCAGATAATTTTTCATGATCAGGAGTACGTATTCCTTATTTTTCAATATAGGAGTACTGGAAAACAATAAGAGTACATTTAGAGTACTGAGTGGAATTTAATGGAGTATCAGTAATCTTGTGTTTCGTTTCATATATGCACCACAACATTGCTAGTCTTGTGTAAACAGGTCAATAGACAATAAAACAATACTTTTTGTCAGATAAATACGTCTGTAAATGATTCTAAGACCGTACACCATTGCTGTGGTGCGTATCTGCTACGTTTTCTAAATTATTTCCTACCGCATCGCGCTTATTTTATATCCATACATACGCCGATACGGCCCTTATCTGGAGCCCTGGTATTCCTACATGTACTCATTCAGGGTTCAGTCCTTTTACCTGATAAACATGATAAAAAGATCCCTTTACCAAGTTGGATTCATGTCTTTTGATCAGACAAAGTGAATTGATTTATGTAAGGCGTACCATTATGTTTATTATCCCTTGACATCCTCACATACAAAGTTTAATATCTGCCAGCCTAGTATGGAATCAGAGGTACAGATAACCTGCGTATCTGCGTAAATTACACAAATATTTGTGTGATAACTCAATTCCTATTAAGTCTTTTGCATACAAATACGCTTGAAGTTTTGTAAATACTCAATACATTTAATCTTACATGCGTACATAGTAAAATAGATCAAATAATTAAGCAGGGATGGCAACAGGAAAATCTATTTTCAGCGGAAAACTTAATATTGTGTCATCAAGTTGAGGGTTTCTCAATGGATTTAGACGATTTACAATTGAACAATTTGAAATAAAATCAGCGGAAATCCTCGGATCAGCGGAAAATTGCCATCCCTGATTAAGGTATATCGAGAGCACATGAACCTGGTAACTTGCAGTCTTTCTTATCGTTTCTTATGTTACAGATCAAATATAGATAACAAACCTTTAAAAAACAAAATTTTATACTTTATTATATTTTTATAATTAATGGAAAATGGCAAAATACCCAACTGAGTTTGAGTGAGGTGGGTACAATATATTTGGTTACCCAAAGGAAAATTAGGATACCCAATTGAGATGAACACAAGCGAGTACATAACTCAATGACTCAACAGGTTATCAGTAGCTCTGATGGAATGGATATGTTTCTACAGTAACATGGCTCAAATGCTGTATATGTCAATCACTTACCGTATTGGTCTTAATAAGATAATTTACCATGGTGTGTTTGTGCATGCGTGCGTGAGCTCTCACATTCATTAAAACTACTGTATATAAGCCGAATTTTGAGGACCAAGAAAAGCAGTCTGTAGAAGGGGGTCGGCTTATCTATGGGTTACGCTTTCGTCAAACTTTTTTTCAGGGGTAAGAAAACAACATAGTATCACTTCACGTGAACAAACAACAGAAGACGACTTTGTCAGTAAAGACATCAAATTTACAATTAAACATCACTAGACAAGATTATTTACCTTTTAAGTTGTAAGATGTTTGTGCTGGGCATTGAATTATTAGCAGGGATTAAGATTATCGTGTGTATTTGAGCCGGAAATAGCAATCAGCTGTGCACACGTTTCCCGGGGATCAAGTTCAAACATGCAAAATAATATAACGGGATGAATTCTGACGCAGTCATCAGTAAAATATGGTACAGAATACTATTATTCAACCCAGCATTGTGTAATTTTAATTACAGGTTTTGCTCTATAAATGTAAACTATATATAATCAACACTAAGGTTATACATACCCTCATGAACGTGGGGGTCAGCTTATCGCTTATCTATGGGGTCGGCTTATCTACGGTAATATACGATACTGAAAAGTGTATTGTGGGGTAGGGAACAAATGAAACTCAAGAATATCAGGCAATTATATGGCAGGGGATGCTTATAAAGATAACTTACAGATTGGTCTGGAAAATGTGTAGGAAATGATAATGGTACACTTCTCATCCTAATCGAAGCAGTGTTGTACAGAACTACTCAGAGATCTAGTATCTATCTTTAACACACATGGCACTAAAGCAATAGACTGGCAAAGGACAAAAACCTAGAACATTTTAAGAAGAGCCCACAATTATAAATGCTCTGTCAGCTACTGTTATATCTTGTTTAGACACCATGGGTGGATCCAGGAATTTTGAAAGGGGGGGTTCAGGGGGTTTGAACCCCCTGAATCCCCTATTGGCTCCGGCAACGCAAAAAAATCTTCAATGTAGTCTTAAGTCATTTTTGGGGTGGGGGGGTGTGGTTCGGGTTCGAACCCCCTGAACCCCCCCTCTGGATCCGCCAATGGACACATTATTATTATGTTCTTTGTGGATCTGTTTTTTATTCATCGTGTTCATGAGATCAGATATGAGGTTAAGAAAGGAGTCCAAATCACTTAGAAAGCTGACATCTGATTGGTCCAAGAGTTCTTGCATGGGAGGTATTGTATTGATGACATTACACTTGTATCTGATTTCAATGACATTGTGTTGATGCCAATTGATCCTGATTACAGCAGAACAATTCACTCGTCTACAAAAGGCAAAAGAAACACTGTCTGATCCCGAGAGTAGAGCCAAGTATGACCAATGGCGCCAGTCTGGTGTGATGATGACATATGATCAGTGGAAAGGGCTCAGAGATTCTGTACACACAGTAAGTAAATCATATTGTCTTTATCTCATGGAAATATATCACATACCTGTTGAAGATAAGCGCAAAAAAATGGTATGCAAAGTTCTCAATTTCATCCCATCATTTCAGTGATTTAAGAGTGAGGTGAGGTGAAATTGGGTTTAACGTCGTGCTTGAGAATATTTCGCTCATATGAAGACGTGCATGCGTGCGTATGTGTATGTATGCGGCTGTTTGTACTAGCCCAGACTTAAGCTGGTTTTATAGTGCTAGCCCACTGAGATACCATGCCGCAGTGAAGCATAAAATACCCCACTCAGACACATTATACTGACTCCAAGCTGACCAGTCCTTGTTTGAGTGGCATTTTTAGAAGTTGAGACGTACAATATGGAACACGTTTTAATGGATAACAACTTCTTTTTATTTTAGATGCGTCGTTGTTCGATACAGATTCTTGTACCGTTGTCAAGCAAGACAATGGTACAAGAATCTGTATCGAAACGTCGCACTCACGAAATAAAGAAGTTGTTATCCATAAAAACGTGTTCCATATTGACCAGTCCTTGTTGTACCCATTATTGCCGAGCGCCAGGCAGGGACCAACAAGTACCATATTTTAACGTCTTTTGGTATGATGCGGTCGGGGATCAAACCCGCGACCTTCCGCTCACCGGGCGGACGCTCTAAGTGAAGAGACGTTAAGGGTAAGCAGCCCTTCCCATAGGGTATGTAGAATATTATCAAAACTGTATCCTCAACCAGCCTGGATTGTGTGATGAATTGTACCATAATCCTCAATGTGATTGTGGCTCCTCATCTGTCTTGAGGATCTGCTACAGATGTTGCCATAGAGGCAGATTGTCTTAGTACTGAAATGGCATTGTTTAACCACCTTTTGTCAAACAATGTTACCCAGTTAAAGCCCGAACATCAGCAAAATGTGTCATTGTTGTTGCGTGCCATAAACATTTGAAGATTCACATCGTACAGAATATTTTACTCTCTGTATAATATACTAACAGCATATTAGAGTGGATGGTGAAATTCTTCATTGTACTGACACTGACATTTCAGATTAAATTCTACCATTCTTGATGTTGACGTGATGTTAGAATCTACACCACAACATTTATTATTTAAATATGAAGTTCATCACCCATACTTTATTATCATTAGTTCAATATTCTACTTCCAAATGTTGTTGAGGGAATTTATTTCTTATTTTATATTTCCAGTCAATGCACTGGGCATCTGTGAAGACCAAACCCATGCTTGATGACACTTCAGGAGGTTCACACAGCTCACCTAAACATGGGCAGACAACTCCTCATTCCTTACATTCAACATCTGCAGCTACTGGTATGTTTGAAAAGGAAAACCAAGTTCTATGGATAGTCAACTTCTTTATTGCAATGAATGCGACGTTTCGGTGTAGGTACTAACACCGTTATTACTTGCTTGATAACGGTGTTAGTACCTATGCCAAAAGTTGCACTCTTTGCATTAAAGAAGTTGACTATCCATAGAACTTTGTTTTCCTTTATCTTTTCAACTTCTAAAATGCCTCTCAAACAAGTTATACTTGTATGTTTGTTTGATACAGTTGAGGTTGTCTGTGTTGAGCCTGCTTCATTAGACTGACTGACTGACTGAGTTTGGTTTTACGCCGCTTTTAGCAATATTCCAGCAACATCACCGTGGGGGACACCAGAAATGGGCTTCACACATTGTACCCATGTGGGGATTCAAACCCGGGTCTTCGGCGTGACGAGTCAACGCTTTAACCATTAGGCTATCCCACCGCCCCTGCTTCATTAGAGCTAGCTGAGCATGTTATTACTGTATATGCCTGAATGAGAATTGAATAAGTGTATATAGACAAAGTAAATATCGTAGAGGTACCGGTAGGCATTATCTGTGTTATCCATCTCACCCTCTGTTCCACAGCCTGTGCTTGTCACAAGAGGCGACTAACCAGATCAGGCAGTCAGGCTTGCTGACTGGGTTGACACATCATTGAATCGCAATTGCGTAGATTGATGATCATGATGCTGATCACTGTCTTGTCTGGTCCAAACTCAATTATTTACAGAGTGCCACCATATATTTGAAATATTGATGTGTGTGGCATTAACCAGTAAACAAATACTGTTCAACATGTAAAGTAAGTAGGTTTTACTTGAGAAGTATTCATCCTGCCAATTTCTCACTAGTTTCAGACTGATCAGGTAATGGCACTGCCTAACCCTTCTGTAGTGTCAGGACTAGGAACAAGAATTACCCATACCAACAACTGGGTTTTTATTTTGTAATGGTCGGTTTCTCACTAATATTGAATTATCAGTGTGGTATCAGAAAGTTTTAGTACAAAATGTGTTGTGTTTTCAATGATTAGTGAAATATCCCAAAAGGTTTTTTGGTAAGTTTACATTTTTGGCCAATAAATACATGAGGATTATAGTTTTTGAACAGGGAAAATTACTTTATTATTTATTTTTTCATATTCTTGAAACTATACGACCGGCGGATCTGTAAAACAAGAAATAAAATTGGTCTGGCCTTAACTGAATATTAGTTTGTACAACAATCGACTAAATAATTGATAATGTGTTTCAGAAGTATTTTGTCTTGTACAAAATACTGACTACAAACAAATAACTGTAATGACAATAAACAGCAATCTTTTACTAAGATCATCTGCTTCCATGTTGATATTCCAGGTACGACAGCAGAGAACAAGTCTCCAGGAACAAGCCCCAGAAAACAGGTGCCATGGGAGAGAGACCCAGCATCCAATATGCTGCGGAAGTTCAGAAGCTATGAAGTATAACATATCGATGAGGAATGATCGCCCAGCAGAGTGATTTGTTTGATAGTTGGTTTATCATGCAACCATTGTGGTATAACATTCATATTTGTAACTTCCAAAAATGACTGTTTACTAGCTTTATGGAGGTAATTTTATGTTTAAAGAGATCTTTTTCTGTTGTCATACAGGAAAGACTTTATTTTTAATCAGTGTTTTTTGTTTCTCCTTATGACAATACTTTTAGAACTTTACTTTAGATGTCATTATTATGCTTTATTAGTCTGAACCATAAACTCTGGTCTAAAAGAAAATCAAAAGGAGTAGTAGTAGCAGCAGTGGTGGTGGTAGTTTGATATGTGAATAATACATACTAAACAAAACGTTATGAAACATCCAGGTGATATGGAGGTACATTGTGTGAACATTACCCAGAGCCGATTATTAGATTCAGGGCTCCAGATAAGGGCCGTATCGGCGTATGTATGCGGATAAAAAATATGCACGATACGGTAGGAAATAATTTAGAAAACGTAGCAGATACTCACCACGGCAATAATGTGCGGTCTTTGAATCACTTACAGATGTATTTATCTGAAAAAGTATTGTTTTATTATTGTTCACTGACCTGTTTACATAAGAGTAGCAATGTGGTGCATATGTGAAACGAAACACAAGATTACTTATATTCCATTAATTTCCATTCAGTACTCTAAATGTACTCTTAAGGTTTTCCAGTACTCCTGTATTGAACTTATAAGGAGTACTTACTCCTGATGTTGAAATATTATTTGGAGCCCTGAGATTATTGTTACCATATGTCCAGGGTTGTGATGTTACTTAAGTCTTTCTCAAACAATGTTCTGACACATTTCTGTATTGTGAAACTTTGTATAAGATATTTCAGTATTCTTTAAGTACTGTAAGCAAGGCAGTATTGGTAATATGAACACTGCTTCCAAGGATGGTGGTTGTGGTTTCTGTAGTTTTTCTAAAACTAAATAGTTGACTATATGATATTCAGAGTGTTATAGAATAATAATGTCAACATCACACAGATTGTTACACCCTGGTATTACAAGTTATATGTATCGTATGTATGACAGTTTATTTATAGGATCTGGACGGTAATAGGTACATTGTATGTAGGTGAATGCTAAAGCACGAGTAAATAGAAGTACCAGTTTAGTCTAGTCTTTGTGTCAATGTTATCAGGCACCCATGAAGGTCCGGGTTAGAATGAACTTTCAGTAACCCATGCTTGTCGTAAGAGGCGACTAATGGGATCGAGTGATCAGGCTCGCTGACTGGGTTGACACATCGCATCCCAATTGTGTAGATCGATGTTCATGCTGTTGATCTGTGGATTGTCTGGTCCAGACTTGATTATTTACAGACCGCCGCCATATAGCTGGAATATTGCTGAGTGCGGTGTCAAACTCAACTCACTCACTCACTCACTCACTAGTTATGGGGCTATCTGTGATATGGATTGACAATACACTAAAGCAATATGTATGTATTCATAGTGTGAGACCTGTGACTGTTGTGTCTGGTTTTAGTCTTGTCCTGCATTTATTGTTGTTGATGCATTCCTGTTGGATGTTCAGAATATTTACATGGTTTATTTACAAACAATTGACATTTATTATTCATATGTTATCAGATGATGTAATTGTTTTTGTTTATGTAATATATACCATTAACTGATGTTATGTCTTTCATGGTCTGCTGATTAGGAAGGTCCGGACCGCCTCCGTGGTGTAGTGGTTAGAGCCCGGAGAGTGGAAGGTCGCGGGTTCGATCCCCGACCGCACCATACCAAAAGACGTTAAAATATGGTACTTGTTGGTCCCTGCCTGGCACTCGGCATTAATGGGTACAACAAGGACTGGTTGGCTCGGAGTCAGTATAATGTTTCTGAGTGGGGTATCCATGCTTCACTGTGGCATGGTATCTCAGTGGGCTAGCACTATAAAAGCAGCTTAAGTCTGGGCTAGTACAAGCAGCCGCACATACACACTGCACGTCGTCATATGAGTGGAATATTCTCAAGCACGACGTTAAATCCAATTTCACCTCACCTCACCTCACCTCACCTCACCTCAGGAAGGTCCGGGTTAGAATATTGATCTTCAGTAACCCATGCTTGTCATAAGAGGCGACTAAGGGGATCAGGTGATCAGGCTCGCTGACTTAGTTGACACATGTCATCGGTTCCCATTTGAGCAAATCGATGCTCATGCTGTTGATCACTGGATTGTATGGTCCAGATTCGATTATTTACAGACCGCCGCCATATAGCTGGAATATTGCAGAGTGCTGCATAAAACTAAACTCACTCACTCAGGTCAATAGCTGCATTTGCAGAGATTTATTCAGGCAGAAGGTCAGATTTACCCTTGGATTTCCACTATCATAATGATCCAACAAAGAAATGTGTCTTGTGCATGTTGTATTTTGTACAAGGCCATAGGTGATTCAGTTGTTGTATGTTCCACAACTCACTGTGCAGAGTTGTCTCCCTTGCCAGGAACATGCCTGGAACGGTGATTGCAGGTATCATCTGCCCTGATTATTTTCATCGCGTTATTTTTCAACTTTATAAGTTGAATTTGCATTTTTGACGCTTTGTTTCGGTAAGTCCATACCGAAAGGTATCAGAATCTGCAAAGTTGTGTTTTCCGTTGCATGTGACCAAAAAATCAAACATAATTAAAACACAATTATCACTTCTTCATGACATATAATATGCATTGCTGACTATGAAAAAACAAATAAACAAAATTATAAGCGTATAATCGCAAATCAAAAGTGCAATATTTTGTGGTTGGGTTTACCTCCCTCGAAACGAAGCAGCCGGGATACCGAACCCAGTCAGAGCGGGTGGGTGTGCACTCAAGTGTAACGGCTGGTTCATTAGCAGATGCCGCCTTCACGGGTCATTGTGTGTGTATATATAGAAAGTTGGGTTTTGTAAATACATGCTCATTTTTTGTGTATAACATTTTGCAATCAACAGACATCATAACATGTCATGTGTTCAAGTATCACACCTGCCTGTCTGTGTAATTACATAATGTGACAGAGACCGAACTCGGGCCATAAATCAATGCGTTTTGTTTATGGTGTATAGCCTGATTGGTGTTAAGTTCAAATTGCATTTGGTCAGTGATCGCAGTTGTGTATTGAATATTGTCATTAGCAGACAGGCAGGCAGACACACTGGTGTCAATAAAACAAGACATTGAGTTTTGTCTGTGACAGCGACATATCTATATCACAGTTAGAAATCGTGTCAACTCTAAATAATGCTTTTAAGTATCGAACTGAGAAAGTGACTCGGTAAGAAGAACGTGTGGTGAAATAGACAAATGAAATTATATAAACAGTTTATTTACTGTCATAACATACAAAAAGCTCGCGCCTGTGAGATATCAACAAAACATTAGGAAACTAGCTCACACCAAAGCCTTCACAGAGTATTCACCAGACAGCCCGCTTCCAAGTTGCGCGAACCTATTTCACTGCGCACGTGCTATGAGCGCAGCCAGCTGTTGAAACCCGTATTCCCCAGAAAAGTCTGGGGAAAATTAGTGAAACGTTTGAACTCCGATTTCGCGCGTTTTTTTTCATCGCGTTATTTTTCAACTTTATAAGTTGAATTTGCATTTTTTGACGCTTTGTTTCGGTAAGTCCATACCGAAAGGTATCAGAATCTGCAAAGTTGTGTTTTACGTTGCATGTGACCTTTAACTGAACTGAACTTTATTTAACTCAGGCCGCAGACGGCGGCATATGAGGTTACATCGCTGTTACAAATACATATATACATATATATATCCATAAAGTTGTGTGCAATATCTATACAGATGAATAAACAATATATACTAGCCACATAAAGAAACTGTGCACACAGAAAATTCCTTCAGAATTGGAATACAACACAGAAAAGACGACATGATGTAGACATTTTATAAGCTGAAGTATCGGGCCTCAACAACATGTCAAAAGAACATGAACAATATCCGTAACGATGACGTCAGAAGTTTTAATTGAGTCGGGGGTCACACGTCGAAGTCACAAAGTCAATAACGGGTATGATCATCATGCGCGTGAAGCACAGCAGTGCATCGATGACGCATAGAGGCTACCAAATTTTCCAAATGAAGGCCTGGGGAATGGTTTGGGACGGGGTCACTGCCGTCTGGAACCTGTGTCTGATATGAGTCACCCGAATCCATCTGTCCTGTCTTGGCGTCGTTACTTGGGGACGCCCAGAACGTGGGTGATCCGCGACGTCATTACTGTTTCCCTAACGCCTGACCAATGCAGAAATTGGAAATGTGCTGCCACTTGTTGTTGGCTCATGCCTGCTCGAACCATTCCAATGGCTTCAAGACGTTGAGCACATGTTAATCTTGGCATGATGTGCATGTGGCTTTTCATGTGAATTTGTGAACGTTTGAATGACCAAAGATCAAGCTTTCGACAGTGACATCAATTTCTGAGTTTCCCATGTTGTGTGCAGCGGCCATAGGCCACCATCTATGACGTCACGTCTGGCACCTTCATGAGCGTTTGATTGTCTCCAATACTTGCTATGTTCACACCTTTATTTATGCATAAAGACTCTGTCAGCCTATCTTTATATTTTCTGTGTGCACAGTTTCTTTATGTGGCCAGTATATAGGTTTAATTACGAATAAAGTGAATATATAATTCTTATATCTACATGTACAAAAAGTAGGAATATTTAGATGGAGTATACTTACCGACGATTCTTAAAAACATTAATAATAATAATAATAATACAGAATAAAGCGAGTTTTCTGAGAATACCTATCTTATCGCTATTGAATAATGTATACATTTTATAAAAATTTGGTCTTGTATAAAAATATGGCTTTAAATATTTAACTCTTGCATTTATAAAGTGAGAACAAATAAATAAATAATGAAATTCATCGCCAATGCCGTTACCATTACAAAGTTTACATAATCTATCACGTTTTTGAATATTGCTCCAACGGCCTGTTTCAATTGGTAAGTTATGATTTGCTGTTTTATAAGGTAACACTTCCCTTGAACACTTCTCATTTAAAATACCCATATATTTGCTTAACCTTAAATCTGAGTTTGAAAAGGAGCTATACAAGATACATTTTGATGAATGTTCTACCGTAGATAACAACACTTGCTTATACACATCTTCTAGTTTACATTTAACTGTATTTTTTAGTTTATTCAGGTTTTCAAAATTTTGGGAATTCCAGATATAACTAAGTCCAATTTCGTCCAACGTATGTTTAATATTCATTATCCAGTTATGCTTACTTTTTTCCAAAATGCGTGTCGTTAAAAAGTAATTTAAAGATAAGTAAGGATAATTTGGAAGATTTAAGCAGCATAATACCCCTGTTCATGGGGTTCATTACAGTGGTAAACGTCTTGGACCTGCATCTCTTCAGGACCTTCTCCGTGGTGTAGTGGTTAGAGCGTCCGCCCTGAGAGCGGAAGGTCGCGGGTTCGATCCCCGGCCGCGTCATACCAAAAGACGTTAAAATATGGTACTTGTTGGTCCCTGCCTGGCGCTCGGCATTAATGGGTACAACAAGGACTGGTCGGCTCGGAGTCAGTATAATGTGTCTGAGTGGGGTATTCATGCTTCACTGTAGCATGGTATCTCAGTGGGCTAGCACTATAAAACCAGCTTCAGTCTGGGCTAGTACAAGCAGCCACACATACACATACACACGCATGCACGTCGTTAAACCCAATTTCACCTCACCTCTACTACAGTTCAAAAACCCGCCGTACAGTTATCATTTATGAAGAATGATCAAAGCCCAGGAATTGATGGCTACCCCATTGAATTCTTTAAGTTCTTTTGGAGAAATTTAGGCCCATGGGTTTACAGATTTATAAAAGAAACCTTTACAAATAATGAATTAAGTATTACAATGAACAGGGGAATTATTACTTGTTAACCTAAACCAAATAGAGACAAAAAATTCGTAAAAAAACTGGTGACCTATTTCATTACTAAATTCCCTTTACAAAATAATAAGCACATGTACAGCAAACAGGATTAAATCAACATTAGATACAATTGTACATGAAAATCAAACAGGTTTATACCTGGGAGATGTATGAGTGAAAATTTAAGACTTCTATATGATATTGTCTTTAAAACAAGAAGGTTAAAAAATTATCATTTATTATCCTCTCATTAGTGTACCAAGATAGTTTTATAATGTATCTGAGTGGGGTATTCATGCTTCACTGCGGCATGGTATCTCAGTGAGCTAGCAC